GAAAACCTTACCTGGTATTTCCAGTATTATATGAAATAATAACTGTAGTTCATATCTTTTAATATAACTTAAAATTCTCCATATCATAGTGAAATAATATAAAGTCATAATTAGAAGGTGATTTATTCTTCTTTATTTATTGTTGAAACATCTCATGGTCAAAGAGAATAGATGATTTCTATATCTTTTAAAATTCAAAAATTAAACAAAAACGTTTATGAAAGTCCTACTATGTTTAAGCCAAAGCAATGAAAGTGTTTATTTTCAAGAAAACAGATAGAAAAATATGAGCTCAGCAAACAAATCTCCTACACATACTATTGCATGTACTAGTGCACACGCCTTGATTCAAAACTTTCTAACTTCATGTCCAGCATTTCTTTAGTAACAACAAAAATCACTGTTGATTACTAGTACACATCTTTTCAATAACTGTTTTCATAACATTTTTGACCTCCTGATTTCTCAAGCTGTAGATAAATGGGTTTAGCATGGGCATCACTACTGCATAGAATATTGAGGCAAATTTTTCTTTATCTAATGAATGGCTTGACTTAGGCTGCAGGTACATAAAACTGAGGGTCCCATAATACATAGTAATAGAAATCACATGAGAAGCACAGGTAGAAAAGGCTTTCTGCCTTCCTTCTGTAGAGGGGATCCTTAGGATGGCGAAGATAATGAATACATAGGAGATGAGAACAATGATAAGAGAACAAAAAACATTGCACCAAGCAATGACAAACAACATCAGCTCCTTGACATGGGTATCGGAACAAGCCAGAGCAATCAAGGGAACATCATCACAGTAGAACTGGTTGACCACATTAGAGTCACAAAAAGACATGTGGAATGTAGCCACTGCTTGTATTAGTCCTATGGTGATTCCATAAACATATGAGCCAGCGACCATTTGAATGCATACTTTCCTGGGCATGAGAACTACATAAAGTAAAGGGTTGCAGATAGCGACATACCTATCATATGCCATTACAGAAAGCATTAGTAATTCCCAAACTGAAAATGTGATAAAGCAACACACTTGAGTGGCACATGCATAAAATGGCATGCTTTTAATTTCACGAAAAGAGTTCACGAGGGTGTTAGGGGTAATGGCAGAAGTACCATAAAAATCAACAAAAGCCAGATGGCTGAGGAAAAAATACATAGGTGTGTGAAGCTGAGGACTGATTTGGATTAGCACAATCAAACCAAGATTACCCATCACAGTAACTAAGTAAATCAGTAGGAATATACCAAAGAGAATGGCTTGCAGCTCTGGATTATTTGTAAGTCCCAACAGGATGAACTCAGTCATTGCTGAATAATTGCCTTTGGCCATGGAATAGATACAGGATTATTCTACCACAAATGCCTCCAGAACACACTTTATGAATAGTCTTGACTCTGTAAGAAATAATCAATTAAATGTGAGAAGATGGCCTTGCCTACCCAGGATGTTATGCTAAGTTCAATCAAATTAGAATTCTGATAAGTACTGTGAATTATACATGGATTTTTCTTATGCTTTCAGTGTGAAAGTGTTTGGTCCAGGTAGAAATTCTAAGATGTAAACTCTACTAGAGAATTGTAAGAGAAGAAAGTATTTCAATTGAAATTTTATAATTAATACAATAGAAAAATTTGTGTTGTACTTTAAAAAAAAATAGAAGAAAAAACATTGCAATGTTAAGAAGGTGAGTACTTTTGGCAGTATATGTCAAAATGATTTTTTAAACTGTGAATTTTTATCATAAAATACAGTGGTTGAGAGTAGCAAATTTGTGGAGGCAATTCTCCATAAATCTCTCATATTTCTGAGCACTTTATGAGCAGAGGCACCCACATGCTTTGTTCTGAATAATCTTTTCAATAATTTCTTTTTAACGAATAGCTGTGGAAGACATAGTTTCTTTTTCCAGAACAGAGGGCAAGTTTGTTTACTGTCCAGTATAATAAAAATAAGGTCTCTCTCCAGATAAAAGGTTGAACAGGTCTTGTCATCCACTGCAAAAATATTTAAGTTCTATCAGCTCAGGCTCTTAGCTGTGACTCAAATCCACTTCATGTGCCACATCCATATGGACCATTATGCATTGTCCCCCTGAGATTTGGGATGCAATGGAGAATAAAGTGAAACTGAAACATATGTTGTTTAATATGCTGTGAGAAAAATTCCTTTGTCTCTGATCTAGGAGTCTCATGTCTTATGCCAGCATTCATGAAAATGTGGCAGACTAACTTATTATCTAGAAAGAAGGGTATAATCTAAGATCTGTTATAGTTGTGGTCTGTTTTTGGTTATAAGGAGAGGATATTTACAGAGATGTTACTGTCTTCGAAAGAAAGGAAAAGGAGCCCAAAAGCCAGCTTAGGGAATGTGAGAAGACACCCAAGTATCCGGTAGCTCCACTTGTCCAAGAAGTGGGAAAGAGGTGGGTGAATAAGGGTCTTTTGATACCTTACCTATTAATAGATATTTTAAATCTGTGCAGTGTGTGGTACGTTTGAGATAATATGCCTGAATGGTGCTTGAGTTGTGGCTTTTATTCTCCTCTAGTATGGTAGGGATATCTTTGTGACAGTGGAGCTGCAGACTCATGCCCCAGTTGAAAGGCAATGAGGCTATAGTGACTAGGACATCAAGGAGTCCTAAAACTGAAATAAATGGTGNCCATGAACAGAGGAATTGCAGTGTCAGGAATGAGACTAAATTTTTATCCAATAATACCAACTTCCATCTCTTACTGCCAAAGTTGGGTGTCCAATCTGTTAGAGGCAGTGACCCATGCAGAGTCCTAAATATAGCATCATGCTTTTGTAAAACTAGTGAGAAATATGGTGATAACTCAATTATATCAGACTCTTCAGTTTTGGAGGGAA